TTATATGGAAACACAAGAGGCCACGAATAGCCAAGGCAATACTCAGTCAAAAGAACAATGCAGGAGGTATCACAATACCTGACTTCAAACTATATTACAAAGCAATAACAATAAAAACAGCATGGTACTGGCACAAAAACAGACATGAAGACCAGTGGAACAGAATAGAGGACCCAGATATGAAGCCACACAACTATAAGCAACTTATCTTTGACAAAGGAGCTAAAAATATATGATGGAGAAATAGCAGCCTCTTCAACAAAAACTGCTGGGAAAACTGGTTAGCAGTCTGCAAAAAACTGAAACTAGATCCATGTATATCACCCTATACCAAGATTAACTCAAAATGGATCAAGGATCTTAATATCAGACCCAAACTCTTAAGTTGATACAAGAAAGAGTAGGAAATACTCTGGAGTTAGTAGGTATAGGTAAGAACTTTCTCAATGAAACCCCAGCAGCACAGCAACTAAGAGATAGCATAGATAAATGGGACCTCATAAAACTAAAAGCTTCTGTTCATCAAAAGAAATGGTCTCTAAACTGAAGAGAACACCCACAGAGTGGGAGAAAATATTTGCCAACTACATCAGACAAAGGACTGATAACCAGAATATACAGGGAACTTAAAAAACTAAATTCTCCCAAAACTAATGAACCAATAAAGAAATGGGCAAGTGAACTAAACAGAACTTTCTCAAAAGAAGAAATTCAAATGGCCAGAAAACACATGAAAAAATGCTCACCATCTCTAGCAATAAAGGAAATGCAAATTAAAACCACGCTAAGATTCCACCTCACCCCTGTTAGAATAGCCATCATCAGCAACACCACCAACAACAGGTGTTGGCGAGGATGCGGGGAAAAAGGAACCCTCTTACACTGTTGGTGGGAATGTAGACTAGTACAACCACTCTGGAAAAAAATTTGGAGGCTACTTAAAAAGCTGGACATCGATCTACCATTTGATCCAGCAATACCACTCTTGGGGATATACCCAAAAGACTGTTACTCCAGAGGCACCTGCACATCCATGTTTATTGCGGCACTATTCACAATAGCCAAGTTATGGAAACAGCCAAGATGCCCCACCACTGACGAATGGATTAAGAAAATGTGGTATCTATACACAATGGAATTTTATGCAGCCATGAAGAAGAACGAAATGTTATCATTCTGCTGGTAAATGGATGGAATTGGAGAACATCATTCTGAGTGAGGTTAGCCTGGCCAAAAACCAAAAATCGTATGTTCTCCCTCATATGTGGACATTAGATCAAGGGCAAACACAACAAGGGGATTGGACTATGAGCACATGATAAAAGCGAGAGCACACAAGGGAGGGTGAGGATAGGTAAGACACCTAAAAAACTAGCTAGCATTTGTTGCCCTTAACGCAGAGAAACTAAAGCAGATACCTTAAAGCAACTGAGGCCAATAGGAAAAGGGGAACAGGTACTAGAGAAAAGGTTAGATCAAAAAGAATTAACCTAGAAGGTAACACCCACGCACAGGAAATCAATGTGAGTCAATGCCCTGTATAGCTATCCTTATCTCAACCAGCAAAAACCCTTGTTCCTTCCTATTATTGCTTATACTCTCTCTACAACAAAATTAGAAATAAGGGCAAAATAGTTTCTGCTGGGTATTGGGGGGGGAGAGGAGAGGGGATGGAGTGGGTGGTAAGGGAGGGGTGGGGCAGGGGGAGAAATGAACCAAGCCTTGTATGCACATATGAATAATAAAAGAAAAATGAAAAAAAAAAAGAAAGCCCATCTTGATAGTTGTTTTATAAAACTAAAATTAGAAGTATCTATAAAGAAATGTATAGTTAAAGTGACCATATCTGTTGGTATGTATAAAACCAGAACATCCCCAGGGACAATTCCTCAATTTACTAAAAAATTCTTTTTGAACTCCCAGGACTTAAACTTTGAGCCCGCTCCACCAACCTTTGTTTTTGGATGGGGTTTTTTCAAGATAGGGGTCTCACCAAACTATTTGCCTGTGGTGGCTTTGAACATGATCCTACGATCTCTTGCCCCCGAGGCAGCTTGGATCAGGCAGTGAGCCACCAGCGCCTTGGTAACATGTTTTAACACATTTTCAGGCTGGTGGAGTGGCTCAAGTGGCTAGAACACCTTCCTAGCAAATGTGAGGCCCTGAGCTCAAATCCGAGTACTGCCCCCCAAAAAACCATTTTTAATTAGCCAAAAACTTGTTACCTTATAACTAATTTTCAATGACTTTCAAAAATAATACTCATCTTTATACCACATTTTTTATTTTTTTTCTTGATTTTTCTGCTTCTAATACAGATGTTTTCTTTCGATTGATACATGTGTTTCTTCAACTAAGCTTTATAGGCCTACATGGAACAAAATGAGCCTTTCTCCACCTTGAAACCTATGATTTGCAGGAAAGTATTCCTTTCAAAAACGAAACTCAATTCTTACAGGGAACAATGTGCCTAAAATGCTGTAACTTCTAACATAGATGCTTAAGGTCAAGATATACATGTGTTCTGGAACTCAGCTGAACAGGCCTATTTGGAACAAAAATAAGCCTTTCTCCATTTTGAAAACTATGATTTCCACAAAGTATCCTTTCAAAAACTAACTCAATTCTAATAGGGAAACAATGTGCTAGAATGGTCTGCTTTATACACATTTTTAATACAGAAGATAATTCAGAATTTGTTAAATCTGTATTGTCAATAACCTAAGAGACTTTAAGGTCAAGTAGTAGGTATTAAGGCAAAACTACAAAACTTAGGAAACATTTTTAGTCCATTTATAGATATTCACATAGGGTAGCAGTTTATAAAATGCCTTTGCTTTCATGTACTTAGTTTAAAAGGGGGGAAGGGGACATAATTTAAAATTTCTGTTCTAGAGAAACATAGTATTAAAAAGGGAATACTTCCTTTCTTTCCAGCACTAATAGCATAGCCCAATTACACTGATCACTTTGATTCCTACCTGACCCTGTAGGTCGAGATTTACAAGTCAATGCCCAGAAGGAACTACATTTTAATTTTGGTATTATTTTCATGTCTCTCTCTCTCATCCAGTAGCAGTTTTCTGAGTAAGAACATTAGATGCAGACAAAACACTAACTGCAGTCAAGAGTAGATCTAATTTAACCAAAGAGAAAACCATTTGCTATCACTAGCAGTTTCCTCATTTTTGAGTATTTGGAAAGTTGTATTTTAATTAAACTGTAAATAAACAGCAACTTACCATCACGTTTCATCAAAGTTCATTTGTAAATCAGTTGTTTTCCATTAAAACATTATACCATGCTGGTCTGTAAAGATTACTTAACTTAAAAACACAATAATTATAGTTCTGCCCATCTTTTCTAATACTACCTCGATGAGCAAACCATGTATCAAAATGTGGACAAAGTAGAAACACAGCCCCGAGTCCTAGCAAAGGAGTCACAAAGGGGAGTGCTAAGTGGAAGCATGACTCTCATTAACTTTTTTAATTGACATGTAATTGTATGTTTATGAGGTCCAGTGTGATAATTCAATACATGTATATGACACACAGAGATCAAGCCAAGGGCAAATTCAGTATTCCATTTCCTTTATTAACCATTTAGCATCTTTGTGGTGGGAACTCCTCTATTCTAGCTCTTTGTAAAATTTATACTAAATGGCTGTAAACTGCAGTCATTCTACTATGCTGTCGAACATGAGAACATATTCCTCCTATTTAACTGTACTTTGGTGTCCATTATCTAATCTTCTCTGCTCCCCCTCACCCCTCTAATGACCAGAATTTAACTTGACTTTTATGAAAGCAACTTTTTAAGCTCCCACATTGTGAGTGGTTTTGTGCCTGGGGAAGCACAGCTGGAGAAGCATCTGAAGATGGTAAGCAGATGAAAGTGGGCCCAAAAGCAAGGGCCACGGTAATCCACACTCCTGGGTATGATCAAGCCCTGAGAATACCAGGGCCTGCTACCCACTGGCAGGGGACAGAAGGCCAAGAAAGGCCTGTCACCACTCCCTGACTCCACCAGGTCAAGTGTTTGTCAAGTGTTTTTCCCTCCTTTAAAGAGAAACTCATCCCCTTTTCTGTTTTTTTATGAATCTTGCCAAGGCTATGAATGTTTCTATGTACATGTATAAAGCAGACTAAGCTGACCAAATTCAAAATACATGTATATACCCACATATGTGTCAAGAGCTACTATTTCTTAATGCTGGCTTCTAAGGCAGAGCTACATGAAATTACTCTCATTAATATTAAAAAAAACAGTAATCAGTAATTTCCATTTAGAGTGAGTAACAACCCCTAGAGATGGAAAATATCCCAATATACAGTACTTAACATAAAAACAAAAACCTTAAAAATGGATAGTGGATAAAATGGAAAGCTCCATTATTTGTCTTTAATTTCAAAAAGCACATAAATACTTCCCAGAGATTATCGAGGAAACAATAATGTTAATCATTAAATTTCATTTTTTCTAGCTTCGGAGTTGACCCCTCCCTTATAATCAACCCCCAAACAGATTCAGAACACTGGTCTTTTTTTCCCCCTCAGGAAAGTTACTACTCTTCAGCACAACTGTGAATTTCTTTGATCTCCTTTACCCCACGTCATCCTGTAAACATATGAAGTGTCCATGGCTTCAAACCATTGTGCTTCTGTTCTACTCTCCTTCTCCAACTCTGGTTTCTGCTGCACTGCCTCATTCCTTCTACAAACAACTTCCTTCACTTGATTCTGAACCAGCCTTACTGCCAAGAGCTGAAAATAGCAAAACCACACTCTAAGGGAGGTTTTGCAAACTAAGAATAATAGACTCATATACCAGTAAATAGCTAGAAGCACAGTTTACCAGAATCAAAGAATATCCTAATTTCCTATCTCATTCTTTGAATATTCTTGATCATCACAGAAAAACAAACTAAACTGAGCATGCTGGTGATACTCACAGTACTTAATTTTCTTCCCCTCAAACTCTCCACCTATAATATTTCCTCTACATGCACACATGCACGCACACTTTTGCCTCTCTCAAGACATGAGTAACAAAACATGTAATTAGCAATGCACCCCCACTACAATAAATAAATAAATAAAACCATGCAATTAGGATCCACTATATACACTTTGACAGTTCAACTGCCCCTTCCACAGCTTAAAGACCATAAAATGTATCACTTTAAGCATGACTCCCAAGATGTATTGCATCTCCTTTGCGTCAAACACAAAGCAATGACAGATCAAAGAGAACGTTAAAATCCAAAGTTATGGTCAAAAAATAAGATAAACAAAACAGTAACAGAGCTTAAGCACAGGATAAAACTGGAGCAGAAGCTGCAAAGTACTCCAAGATTTCAGGTTCAAAAGTGGGCAGGAGGCAGCTCTCATCACTAGGAGTACCAAGGACTAAGAGTGCTCCATGTGACACATAGTACTGAAGAGAGAAAACTGCTTGACACAGATCTGGGGTGGTGTTCCCCAGACCTGCAGCAGACGAGGAAAAGAAAACAAAAGACTGCAACTTGAACACTACTTTCAATATTTGCCACCAACTATAATCCTTTGTCAATAAGAAGAATGAAAATAGTTTCTGCCACTTCTTTGTAGAAGACTAGTTTATTCTAACAAAAATCAACAATAGAGCATCTTTAGACAGAACCAACTCCTAAAACTGGAAACTGGTTGAAATATTAAAAATTAAAGTATCCATTAGACAAAATTTCATTCTTAAGTACAATGTGAAAATCAGCAGTATTTAATTGTAACTACACTTCCAGGCAAACCCTAATGAAATTTCTGAATTATACTACTGAAAAAATTCATAAAATCTTAACTATTTTTAATAAACAAAAAGTAGAAAAAAATTAAGTATGATAGTAGAAATTCTCACCTGTGTTTGGACTGTGATCTTTTCCTTCTGGAATGGGATTTTGAGCTAGACCTGGACTTTGAGCGAGTATGGGAACGAGATCGACCGCCTTTTCTTTCATTGCTCTTTCCAGACTCTGGGAGGAAAAAACCACTTTGCAGTGTAAGCTCAGAACAATTAAAGATCCCAGTTAATAATTAGGCACAAGTGAATATACCACATATAGTGCAAGGGCCTACTCTCTGCACATCCTCCTCCTGTGCAATTATCCTTCAGAAACATCCAAGAAAGTCATTGCATAAACTCGTTGAGTGCAGCCACCCTGCAGCAGTACATATAAACCAGATGATTATAAACAGCTGTTCGTAATATTTTGTTGCTGCCATAACGTACGATTAAAACATGTCTGTAATTCCTATGACAGTGATTGTCACCTTCCTATATTTATTTTGCTAGAATTGAAGCTTAAATTCCAAGCATTAATTTAGAAAATCCACTCAAAGGTAAAAACCTAGACATTTTTATTGCATTTAAAATTTTATTTAGCAACACAAAAGTATGAACAATGTTCCTTGCTAAAACTGAATTTCTATATTTTTCTAAATCATGGGCTCTCTTTTCTAGTTTTAAAATTAAAACTTTGAAGGAAAGTAAACCTGATATACTTACTCTTTTCTTTTTAGCCTCACAATAGCACTCATACTTTATTTTCAGCACAACAGGTCTGAACACTGATTTTTGTACTAAAACATAAAGAGCTAATTAACTCAGGCTAACGTGCCTCAATTTAGTATTATGGAAAAAAAAAGACGATTTATGCTAAATCATTCTTTGAGTAAGCCACTTACTATTTCTTGAGTTTCAGTCTTCTTATTGGTAAAATGAAGGGACTGAACACACTTTCTAAATTCCTTTCAGTTCTAAGATTCTAGGATCTTTAAACTGTGACCTATGTAACAACGCAATGGCCTTACCTGGTTCAATAGCTGCTGAGATAAATGACTGAGCCTCTCGTACTCGCTTCATTACTTCTTCTAACTCCTTAGCTGCAGCCTGAGGTGTCATCTCAGGAGGCTTTACTATTGCATTGTTGGAGTGATTTATTCTAAATTAAAAATATTAGCATATCACAAATACACACATCTTGTCAAACATGAAACAATAAAATGTTTATGTATGCCATACATATTTACAATTTGAAGACATCTCAAAAACACATTAAGAATGATATAGCTAAATACAGAATAACGAAAAGCAACCTCAAAATTATGACTAACCTCTCACCTCTACCTCCCAAAAGAACAAAAAGCTAAACATTACCCAGTTCTTTAACAACAAAAACAGACCACAGCAAGTATTTTCCACATACCTTAGAATTATAATAAACTACAATGTGATATCAATAAAATAAATCGCCTCTATGATTAAAGGTTTTACTGATAATCTCCGCAGGCTGGCAGGATGAAGAGAACACTGTATACTACACGTACCATTTTAATCAACCCTGTCCCACAGCTAAGTCAGACAATTTGAATCTGATAAAGCTTCCTCTACCAGGCAAGAGTGGCTTCTATACAAAGGCATGTGATGTGTCTCTCTTTGCCCCTTCCACATTGAGATGATCACCCACTAAGAACAGTTATTTATCCTTTAAAAGCCAAATCCTGATCAAACTGTGTAACTAAGACAATCACCTATCATATTCAGAGAAAACTAAGTTCACATTAATAATCTGCAGGAAGTACAATTTCTGGTCTTGAGTATCTGAATGGCTACCCAAAATTTTATAAGCAAGGATTTGAACAAATGTTTAAAAAGTCAAAATATCTATTTTTAAACACATCTGGGTACTTAGTATTATTTTCTTCCTGGGATTTGAAATTTACCAAAATATTTATTACCAGATATATTGTAATTCAACCCACATGTTAAGCTGCTCAATAGTCTAGACTCCTATTATAAAACCAACCTGAGTTAAAGGTCATAGAAAAAACCAGAACCATCATGTTAAGATATAGAAATAATGGTAATATTAAATCAGAACTTAAAAACAGAATGAGAAAAAAAATGCCTTTTAAAATACAACTTTGGGAATTTAAAGGCTAAAATATCATGTTTTTCGTTTAGACTTAAGTCTTCCTTTCCACAAATTGCCATTACTATTAAAAAGGGGAAAAAAAAGCCTTAATTATATTTTTTATATTTTTTCAAAATCATTAAAATATTTTTGTTTAGAATTTCTTACTTCAGTGGCCTGTCTCCAAACATAACTCCATTAAAAGCAAGGGCCCTTGGTACAGAATTTTGGTCTGCAAATTCCACAAAAGCAAACCGAGTTGGCTGAGTCTCATCACCTGCCATCCGTACAAACTTCACTTCTCCAACTTGTTTAAAAAATTCAAGTAGTTGATCAGCTGTCGTTGTCTGAGAAAACAAAGTGACACATTAGTAGCATGTTCTTTTTAAGAAATCAGGGAACAGTACTTTATCAACCAATAAGATTTTTAAGAGAAAGTAAGAGGGACTGTTACTTGGTTTCTTCTTAGTTACCTGGGAATTCAAATTTCCAACATAGACTGTTCTCCTAATCTCATCAATTTTGGAAGGATCTACATTTCCCATAAGAGGTGGCTGTGGGATCTCTCCAAGTGTTGCTATGTTGGGGTCCAGTGCTGCTGCCGGTATAGCTCCCAAGCTGCTAAGTGAAACACCAAGCTATATAAAAAATAAATAAATAAATAAGCAAATAAAGCACAAATTATCTATTTGTATCCAAAATTACCATCTCTTATCTTGAGAAGAATGGATCAACTCAACAAACTCAACAAGAATGAAAGTAGAACAAGGACTCCTAACTTTAAACCATGGAAATTTCTGAACTGAGAGTTCAGTCACATTAGTTTTGAGCATAACTGAAAGATAATATATTTCTTAAATGTTTGAGTATTTTAACAACTTTTAAACTCAGCATTAGTAATGAACAATTTATTCTCATTATTCAAGGTTGTTCTATTTTCTATAAGTAAGTTTCCATAAATGTTAATATTGGATACTGAACATTACTCCTAGGAAAAACAGTAAGGTTAAGTTTCTGGAAGCCTCTGGTCACAGCATGTTCATAAAGCAATAATTACACATAACAGTCTTATGTGCACTTCTATTTGAAGGCCCTTTAATTAATATGTTGTTCATTAATACTGAACTGACTCAGCAACAAGACAGACTAGCTACACTTTCTTTAGAAAAGCTAAGAGGCCTATTTAAACAGCAAATAACCAGCAAAAAGTACAAAAATTCAAAAATGTATCTTACCCCTGCTTAAAACCCTTCAGGGGCCATTAATTACCCTAAAAATAACATTCAAATGCCTCTCCATGATCTAAAAAGCTCTGCTTAATAGAAAAATATTTTTGCCATGTGTGCACCTTGTTACACTTTCTCAATCTCAGATAAATGCTTGTGAGATACTCTTCTTCATTACCAAGGCTACAGATCATCTCGCATTTTTAAATGGATTTGTCCTCATGAACTGGCAAGTTACATAGAGTCTCCAATTCTCTGCTATCTATTGCATTTTAGCAACCAACTTTTTAATGAATAATGTATTTGAGTCCTTTAAGTGAATCCCCAATTACTTTTCTAGTAATTCCAAAAGGTAGCTCAATTCAGTAATAACATGGGAGGGGAAGGAGAACTTAAAAGATTCTAAATCTCCTCCACTAAAAAAAATTAACAGGCCCAAAGTAGAAATAATTTTCTAAGCTCTTTATTCATCTAATCACACAGTTCCATGTTCACCCTTTCTTAAGAGGGCTTATAGTACTTACTGTAGTCAAGGGATTTGGGGTTGGTATGGGAAGCAATCCTGCACCAGGCATCAGACTTGTCATGGTTGGAGCAGGAGCCAATAAAGAGAGAGCTTTGGATTCCTCAGGAATTTTACCTGCAGAGGCAAGTTCCAAACATTATGGAAAGCAGAAACACCACACCAACTTTACACTATGATTTTACAATTACCCTTGCACTTAAAAAAATAATAATAATAAATGAATCTATCTATCAGATCCGTATAAAGAAATAAATAAGAACTTAAGTCTTTCCTTTTATCCTGCTCTACTAGGAAAAATAAAAGTGAGCAAAACTTCAAAGACTAACAATCTCATTAATGGAATATTATTTTAAAAATTGAATAATGTAGACAATTATTTAACACTTTGAGCTATGGGTCACCTGTACTGGAAACTTAATGTTCATGAACCAAACGATATCAAGCATGGACGCTTTCCCAGGACGGTGTTTTCGCGGTGATCGAAAGTTGTGTTACACATGACAACCGTTCGTGTTGGCTGCATCACTAATAGCACACAGAACATCAGATACAGAAAAGAAGAACATTTTTTAAAGTTTAATCCCCAGAAATGGCAAATAACCAAATTAGTCAAAAAAAAGAAAAAGAAAAAACAAATATGTGCGAATTGTAATTTGTTCCTTAATGAGTGTCTCTATCCTACACTAAAACTATCTACTTGTGATGCAAACAATTTTGATAACCCTCCAAAAGATTCCATTCAATTTCAAATAAACAGAAGAAAATAAAAACCTACTTCATGTAATTAGCTTCAATTTAAAGGGAAGCCTACATGCATGTATTTAATAAGGCCTCTCACCAACAACATCACTGATGCCTAAAAAAATCCAGTTCCAAAGAAATATGCCTTGGGAAACTGCTAAAAAGGTGTGAGAATAACGAACAACAACAAAAAAGCTTGCTAGTCTCAGGAAACTTCTTAAAATATTAACTGTTACAATCAAGTTATGTATACTTATCTGAAAAGGAGTGGTTAAATGTCTGGCTTATAAACATTTTCAATGCCTAATAACAAGAGTAACACTAAAATAATCTTAGAAACAAAGAAATAAATGCCTATAGCCTAAAAATTGAAAAATTTACTCTGAAATATGTTCATAATTTGCCACATTTAATTGCTGAATTGTAATAAATCTTGATAGAAACAGAAACTTTCATGCTTTATCATCTCACCAAAAAAAAAAATACATTTCTTAAACAACTAACTAGAACCACTTGTTCTCATTATGAACTCATCAAAAGTGTTTTTAACTAGTGAACAAAAACCAAACTGAGCTGAAATAGGCGTAGTAAATTCTCAAAAGCACAATGCCTGGTTTCAGAGGGACAGAGATAAAGCTCTAAACAATATTATGAATTCAAGATGGAATTTAAAACTTGCTTTAAATAATGGTTATAGCTTATTGAATCAAGTAAAATTTACATTTTAGCAGCTTTAGCAAATGCCTATTTTCTAACTTTGCAGCACTGTTCATATTTACTTCTTAAACTAATTTTTTAAAGAAGTTATTACTTCAATGTAAAGTATGGAGAAAAGATTATTTCTTAACATGCATTTAAAAAAAGGTAGGTAGGTCTTACTGAAGATATGAAATAACAACTATTTTACATGTATTAGTAACTATTACCACATGTACCTGTATAACCACACATATACTAAGACTGTCCATGTAGATATCACATTCATTTTATCTGATATAAACAGATATAAACCCTTTTAAAAGGGTTGTAAAACTAGAACACCCTTGATAAATCAATTCGGATCATGAATTGCAAACCCTATTCTTTGCTACCCTAATTTTTGCATCCCCCAAAACAAGCATTCCAATCTAGTAGAGTGTGTGCCAAATTTACTATGACTTGTTAATTAATAAACCAAACTATCCATAAAGACACTGGAGAGAGGCTACACAAACAAAAAAGGATACTCAACAAGATTACTTAAGTATTACAAAGTCTCACTCTGGCTTAAATAAAATACCAGTATGTTGTCAGACTTACTGTCTTTCATGATAGCAATAAACCTGTAATTTTAACTGTGTGCTCAGTAATACTTTTGTCTTATTCTTTGAGAAGTACTTTAAGAAAAAAATTTCATTATTTAATTTTCAAAATAAAATTCTATCGAATTTACCCTCTAAACACTACCGTAAAATATAGAAGTGTACATTCTTCAAGGAAAACATCTCCTTTCAAATTATTAATAGAAGTCCTAACCTCAGAAGCTATTTAAAAGCTGGGAACCTCTGAAGAATTTTCAACAAAAAATTCAAGCAAACAGAAAAACACACCTCAAATAAATAATCAAGTTTCTCAAATATCCATTCCCCACATAGACAACGAAAGGTCTTGATAAAACAAGGAAGTTATAAAATGAATAACCACCATAAAAGTGAAAAACCTTTCCCCTACCTCCAGATTACTGTAAGAAATTTACTTATTTTCCTTGATTATTTTGTATGCCTAGAGTTCTAGGACGGATGAAAATTAGAAGCTATCAATTATTTTTTATGACAGATGTAGACTTGAGAAAAACTACAAAAATGCTGCACTGAATAGAAAATGTTCCTAAGGTTCTTCTAAGTGTTGTAATGTTTCCAGAACAAAATGTACCTGATCGATCTATAAACACCAATTAGGACTCACTGGGCTTCACAACACTATACTTACTCTAACTTTCTGCATGAGAATTTATTTTATCTTAATGTTGAGCTCTGTTAATCATCTCCCAATATAATTCGCAACACGCTATGAACTCTTAATGGAATACCATTTACAAAGAACTGGAAAACCAGCTCACAAGTTAAAAGTGAAAGAGATTTAACAAAACAAAACAAAAACAAAAAAAGGGACAAAATAAAGAAAAAAAGAAATGAAATTAAAGTAAAACAATAAAAAAAAACAGAGACAGGGCGTCCATCTTCTGCGGTTCAGACTCCGATCTCATTTCCCCAATGAAGGTTTCACTTGACGGCAGGTTTAGTGGCATGGCAAACAATGCCTAACTCAGGCAAGTGTAACAGGTCTGCCTTGGCCAGTCTAGTCATCTAATAGTGCACAAATATCACATAGAGAAAACATACAAAACCAAATTAATAGTCAAAATCCATCTACCAGAAAATGTGGACATAAAGTTATGACTGATGATTAGGCTGACACCCTTGTTATGTTTGACCTTATCTTTTCTACGTGTTAACATTTATAAAAAGAAATCTGAAATGCACGCAACAACAAAAAGAGGTCATATTTAGACACATATAATGAAAGTAATTTTATTTAGAAATGGCATGTTTTATTAACAATAGCTATCACTTAACAGATATGAACCTGTTACACAGCAAACCTTACTTTGATAGCTCAGGTTAACTCTCTGAACTAAAACTTAGCAAACTGAAAGAAACTCAAGAAACTTTTCACGTTTTCTATGGTTTTCCTCATCTATGTCATGATGCTGTTTCTATTATGTGGAGAGAATGTCGTCAGTGAAGTGCAGACTGCTCACAGCACACAGTGCACCTCTCCCTTACAGAGCTTCCTCCTCTGCACACTTCTTGTGCTTATTTCAAACTCACTCTGCAATCTAATTTAATACAATACTTTATTTCTTTGCTGGCAGTGCATAGTCAGACTTTTAACAGCTGTGAAATCTTCAGGTTCCACAAATTCATGTCAGTTGTATTTAAATATAACTAATGAAAATGTGTATTAAAAGTGTTGTTTTAATGCCAGTTATGTTATAGGTTAGTGCTCTGACATACTGACTTATAACTAAACTGCAATAAAAGTATGTTTAAATTTGCATGCCCAAAAATAGTAAAATTTTGTCTTAAAATGGCAGTATTAAAAATATTTTAAAACCTGTAACAAATGTGTTATTCATCTCTGTTATGGATGTGTTACTCATCTTTGTCAAGTTAAACAGTAAAAGGGACTGCTACAGGCCCATAACCTTGAACATTTACAACCAATCAGTCAGGGCTTTTCTAATATATAAAATATTCTATGGGAATATAGAAATGTTCCAACAATGATATAAAATTCCTCCTTCTCATCCAGTAATGACCTAACATAATAAAAGATCCTGTGTTCTTGGTAGAATAACTTTCTAATCCAGTTTTATAAACCTACTTGGTATCTTTTTTCCTATGCAGTTTCTTGGCATGAAATTTCAGTACACAGGATGTAGAAATAAACACTAGCCCCTTTCCCACCTCATTCTCCTATTTTGAGCTGACTGTGCCCTTACAGAATATCAGATAAGGATGTATTTAGCAAATAATTAACTTTGGCCCATTTTATTTTTCCTGCTCACTCTAATCCCCAAACATGGGAGAGACACTTATAAACTCATCTGAAAAAATCCATAATGTCCTATTCTGGGACTTCAAAATTACCAGCTTAGTACTCACTGTATTTGACTTTAATGTTCTTGACATCCCAGAATAGGCATTCTGAAATAAGCAAAAACCCCTGAAAGTGCAGCAAACTGCTTATTAAGTAAGATATACTAAGTTATTTTAATATTAACCTGGTAACTATAAGTTATATGTTATTCAAACATGTATCATATGCTATTAAAAATTACTTATAAAAGACCATTAAATTGTTTCTGGTAAACTTTTATGTTGTAAAATAGTTACCACCATCCAGTAGAAAATATCTATTTGTAAGGACATTTCAATTTGTAATAATCCAATTCCATGTATACATGCCAGTCAGTGCTCTAAATAAAAGTTAATTATACACCATAGTTCAGCAAGTCTATTACATGTGAGTGGTTCTGTAAAAAGAAGTTACTAAAAAATATTAACAGTAATTAGATCTTGAAGCAGTTTAAGACATAAAATTTAAGAAGTAACTATAAGCTTTTGGTCCTACTCCTATCTCTGACAACTGTCTCCTTTATGCAGGCTTATAAAAAAGCTGCTTTCCATGATTTTTTTTTTTTTTTTGCAATTACCAAAAAAGAAAAACAAAACAAAAAAAAAAACACTGAAAATAAAACAATGGTTTCACGGTAACCATTGAGGTAAATTACCTTCAAATTTAAGGATACTCAGTACAAATTACAAATATTTTTCTAATGAATGAGTATCACCTAACCACAATTTGGCAAAATGTGTACACTGCTCTAATTTATACTATTATTAATACTGTACACATGGGTAAATGCTTATTTATATTTAAAATACTTTTCCATACCAACTTAAGTATCTTTTCAATTTCAGAAAGCTCTGTTTACAATCTGCAAACTGACTACAGAAAGCCAAAGCAAAGGAGAATCCAAATACTATATGAATCTTCTAAATGTTAAGTTGTAAAATGTCAAGCATATGCAAGTAATAAACTACTTTAATATCATTGTTTTAGGTAAAAATTTTCTCCTCCATACACCTTTTCTTGCTTACACACTCTCTCTCTCTCTCTCTCTCTCTCTCTCTCTCTCAGCCACCAGAGAACTATCTACTTGTCAATTTCTAAGAAAGCCATAAGCTGTACTAACAGACAGGACAGAGATTTTAAAATAGGTAAAAAAACATGTGAGATACCAACCTTCTGCACAAGGAACAACTATCAGAGCTCTGTCAATAAAAACCGTGTTAGTTAGATGCTGGGCCACACCAACACTTGATGGGTCACGAAACTTAATATAACATACTTTGGAGGAAAAAGCAAGAGGTGTATTGCTGCAAGATAAAAAGAAAAATAATTGGATTAATAACATTTGCTTACATTTGTCATTGTCATTTAAAATTTCTTTCTTACAGCTTTACAAAATCTTGACTGACCAAGACTTAGGAAATTTTTGTTGCGTAATGTCACTAAAACATGAAATAACACACTTGTTCTATGGTGATTTGTCTGACAAGACAGAAAGCAACCTATGTAGGCCTATGCTCTTTTTTGGGAGTATGGTGGGGGAGTGTACAGAGGGAGGGTTTGGGACAGGGTCTCACTATACATCCCAGACTGGACTTAAACTTAATTAGGCTGATCTTGAACTCATGATCCTCCTGCCTCAGTATCCGAAGTGCTGGAATTACAGGTGTATGCCACTGCATCCACCTAGACCTATAGTCTTTTCTTCTTTAATTATCATATATATTAGTTGTACAGGGGGGTTTCACTATGATATTTACATATATATGCTTAAAATATAACTTAATTAGATTCACCCCTTCCATCAGTCTCCCTTTATTCCCCCTCCTCCCTTCTTGGAACAATTTCAACAAGTGTCACTGTTCAATTTTCATACACTTACACAAAGTGGTCTATAGTCTTAATATGTAAAACCTGAAAATCAGTCTCCAATCTGAGGAAATATGAAGACAGCTGATATAATACAAATATGTTGAACCAGTGTGTCATAAATTGTCAAAAATACCTTTATGGGCTGGAGTGGCTCAAATGGTAGAGTGCCTGACTAGTAAGTATAAGGTCATGAGTTCAAACCCCATACAGCCAAAAAACTTTATAAAAGCTCCAATCCTCAAGACTTCATATTCTGTAGCCATTCTAACTCTTCCTAAATGTGATTCTTCAGCACGTCAATCATTAAAAACAGTGCTAGTGATGTAGCTCAGTGGGAGTGTGCAAGGCTCTGGATTCAACCCCAGCAATGTGGAAAAAAAGAAAAAGCCCCGCCCCCACACACTAAAAACTTCATAGTAGTCTTAGAAACAATCAGATAACATGGAATTAAATTAAGGCCTTTGTGTATAACAGATGGTTTCAGGCTAGACAGCAATGTGATTTTCTAGACAAAGGATTTTTACAAACAAAATTTTATAGATTTTATTGTACAAAATAGTGGAGACTCTAGTCCACTCGAATGAATTAAATCTAGACTGACCTATGGCAAAAAGGAACCAGACACAGCACAAAGGAGCTTTTCCATAATAGAAATCTATTATTAGATTCCAAATCCTAAGCAATCATTTTGTCAACCTATCTTTACTATTTTTCATTAAAAGTCTGTAAAATTATCTTTAGCAGGAAAAAAGACCTGAACAAATATATACTACCATACCTAATCTACAAAACATATGTACATACCTACTCTACAACAGATATGTACAGATATTTCCATAACTACAAAGGAAAGATCATTTGAAAAACATCTTGTACAGTAGCAGTAACTAAATATTTTGGTTTACAAAACACGTCTAGGAAGTGATCACAATCTCAGAACTAGTAAATGGCAAATTTAGGATTTAAAGTCTAATCATCTAATACCAAATCTCATGCAACCTTAATCATTCCACTAATCTAGTTATTAAGACCACTGCAGCTAAGTGATAAAGTACAAACCTGCGTGCACAAGGCCCTCGGTTCAATCCCCAGCATACTCCCCCCACCACTTTTGTTACTATTTAATTACTAATTCCACAAACATAATTTTTAAAATTAAAATTATTTTCATTAGCCTTTACATATAAACAAATCATTATTTTAAAAATGTAGTAGTACCACATTAATGTAGTTATAACCACATTAATAACGGTTAAATTTATAGTTCTATCAGCCAAAAACAGTGATAAAATGTATTTGCATATATATTTTTTCAGAGGGTGTTTTGGTGGTACTAAGGATTGAACCATTTGAGCTGCATCCAGTCCTTTTGTTTTTATTTTGTTTGCTAACTTTGCCCTCCACCTCCTAAGTAACTGAGATTACAGGCATGTACCACCACATCCATCTTAATATAATTAGTAAAGCTAACTAAAGTTGTAAAACACAACACTGCCTCTTTCCTAATCAACTCTATTTGCTTCCTCTGCCTAAAGGTAATCCGATTTACAATTCATAGGCAGCCCACACCAAAAATTCCCTCTTCTCCAACATCTAAGTCAAAGCATTCCATGTACTGTCATAGAAGTACATATATCATATTCAGATTTAACCCACCACTTTTATATTACCAAATCTCCAATTTAAGCCTGTCCAGAGCTATAGACTCCCAGATCCAAGAGCCTGCTGAATATTACACTTTGATTCACCCCTAACTCATTAAGATTAAAATGTGTTCACCATTCTCCTTCCTTCCAAATTCTACCTTTTGTTCTATACTTCATATTTGAATTAAAGATACCATATTTCTCTAGTCTGAAACATGGGAATTTCTAGCGTGACAGTCATTAGTGCTGTTCACCAAACTAAATCCAAAGTTCCTTCTGAGTACATGGTAAGATTTTTCCATTTTTCTATTCCTTGAACTTAGGTATGGCCATGTAAATTGCTTCCATCAATTAAATTACAAACAGAACACGTGTCTGTTACACTGTGAAAGCTGTAAGAGCCATTGCTTGGCTCTTTTGCTCTGCCACAGCAAGCAGTAACGTTCAGGAGATGGGTGGCTGTTTTATCAGCTTCATTCCAGAGTGCCCAATGAGTAAAGTTCCCACCCCCACCAATTTAGTCCAAAAATAATGTTGTGTCAAACTGAAATTAGGGTTGTTACTAAAACCCTGCCAATCCTGACACCTCATCCTTGAGCTTTTCATCTTCCTCATCCAACTGGTCAATAAACCTTGCTGAAACGATCTCCCAAATATGTCACATTAACTCTATCACTATTCTCATTATTAATGCCTTAATTCAAGCAGAGGTATTTCTCAGCTAGATTACAATAGCATCAAATCAACCATGCTTCATTCAGTTTCAACCCCTATTGTCTTCCACAAAAGCTGCCAGAATAACCTTTAAACCCTAACTTGCATCATGTCACTCCACAGATTAAAATGTCAAGACACTCTTCTGTCTTTGCTTCATCTAAATACACCCCAAACTCCTGACATACAATTAATTAAGTTCCAGGAACACATCCTGAATGTCTAAATCTTTGTACACGTTGTTCCAACAGAGAATTAGATGTCCTCTCTAACTCCTTTTTTTAAGTGGAAATTTCACATTTCTTTAAGGCTCAAATTTTAATTCTTCTGGTAAACCATCCTAAAATACCATCATGATCAGGTATCCCTCCTACCTGTGCTGCCACAACATTCTATATACATTCAGCACAGGCACTGTCACAATTTCTGTATGTGAAACCCTCAACATATCCTACAGACTTCTCTAGCCACAAATGATAAGCCACCTGTCACAAGGGCCCATTTCACTGGCTGACCAGCAACCTATAATTTGGGTAGTCAAGCTTGATCAAATGAGCTTGAAACAATCACTATCTTTCTGCTGGGCTGCAAAGTAGCTTACACCAGATGAAGAGAGAGTATGGAAACACGGCAAGTACACAAAAACAAACAGCTGACAATAAATCCTCTGGAAAGAAAAGTAGAGAGTCACCTTGATTGCTGATACCTTCCTGGTTCCCAGTCCAGTTCCCATGAGGCCTGGCTGTTCTATAGTCATTATAGTTCTTTATTCTTCAATTTATCAAATAACTTTTTAATAAACAATGTCTCTTCTTACGATCGAGGTCTTACTGACCTTCACAAAGAAACGGCAAAAAAAAAAAAAAATCTATGATTACAATGACCTACTGAACACCCTAACAATTGCAACAGGAATACTCTTAGTCCTGAAACCTTCAGGTGCCTGACAAGCCAGTTCCTAAACTGACAGATCCTTTTGTGAAAGAATACAACCTAAATAACCACTACTGAAAATTTAAAATACATTCCCAAATATGGCCAGTTAAAACCCATTTAATCTGAAATTGAAATATCCACCGGAATAGGAAATCTGAGCCTGATTTGTACATCAAATACATGAGAACCTGTGCCATCAAGATCTGAGAACCCCAAGATCTGGTTTTAAAATGTTGGTCTTTAAAATGACAAAAATGATGATGACAACAGAACATGAAAGTAAAAAAAGGGAACTGTCTCAAGGGAGTCAATAGGGGGGAGAGAGAGAGAGAAAAAAAGGAGAAGATGCTGCAGGGGTAAAGAGACTGAAGTCATTACATATACATATAGATAGACAGACAGACAGCATAATCAAACCACCAGTTTGTAAAGGGAGGAGGAGAGAGGGGTAAAGGGAATATAAAGGGGGTGAACTTGTTCCAAAAACCCTGTACACATGTATGGAATTACCACAATGAACTCCCTTGTACTATTAATGCATGCCAATAAAAAACTGAAAAATAATTTTAAGTATTAGTCTATTCTGAACAGTATTATCACAGAGCATGGATGCACAGTATGGTTACCATGCAGCTTTAAGCAATTTTTTTTGTGGTGCTGGGGATGGAACCTAGGGCTCTGTGCATGCTAGGCAAGCTAAGCTACATCCCCTCCCCCCCCAGCCATTAAGCAATTTTCTTAAATCTTTGTTTCTAATTACCTTTCCTGAAAAGGAAGCCCAATTCACATTTGTTTTATAAAAATTCTAAACATTTGGGCTGGTGGAGTGGCTCAAGTGGTAGAGCATCTGGCTAGCAAGCTTGAAGCCCTGAGTTCAAACCCCAGTACCACAAAAAAAAAAAAAATCATTTGAGCTTTTCATGAAAGGTAGTAACTTTATATTTTGAGCATAATAGGCTAAAATGTATGATACAGTGGCAAGCCTCCATATACATTAATATCTCCATAACAAATGTATATTCATTTTAGTATGTTTTCAAATCTTGTACTTAGATGTTTCTCTCTAACATATATAAACTATCCAATAGGTTTATTTTTGAAATCCTTTACTTATTTATTTTTAGTGTCAGGCACTGTACCATTATCACACCTCTAACTCCTAGATTTACTTTTCTTAACAAGATTATCATTTTAAAATGTAATTTTGACATAGTCTGTTTTGTTTTTTGAGTCAGAGTCTTACTATGTAGCATCTATAGTTTCTATGTAGGGTTCATGTTACTTTGGACAACACAATTCCTCCTGTAAGACTTTCTTGGGAATTGCTGACTCTGAATGCCAGAATGCCAACAGGCCCACCAAACCCTGTTGACAATCAAAACACACATCTCCCAAATAGATCTGCCTGTAAACCATTCACCTGTATTTTTTTTTGCGGGGGAGGGGGAGGGAGGAGGGACTGGAGTTTGAACTCAGAGCTTTGTGCTTGGCAAAGCTAGCACTGTACAGCTTGAGCCAAAGCTCCAGCCCATTTGGTTCTGTTCATTTTGGAGATGGGGGTCTCACGAACTTGGCTGGCCTTGAACCACAATCCTCCTGATCAAGACCAGCCCAAGCAAATAGTTCTCAAGGCCCTGTCTTCAAATAATCACAGCAAAATGGACTAGAGGTATAGTTCAAGCAGTAGTGAGGCTACTTTGCAAATTCGTAAAGCCCTGAGTTCAAATTCCAGTCCCAGTCTCCCCAAAAAGGCAACCAAAATATTTAACAATAGAATTTCAAAAAATGTAACATATTAGTCTTAAATATTACTATAAATAAACCAAAGCAATACGAAAAATGCTTACTACAGGCCAAGTGAACCATAGTGTAATCCTTTGGCTACACTATAATAAATACTGGAGGAAATACATGCAAAAAGCAGGAACTGTGCTACTGTTGGTAGCACCACAGATAGTGTTTTTCTGGATTTTCAGTAAAACGGCTGTTATAATTTGGACATGAAGTATCCCACAAAAAGGCTCATCTATCCAAGGCTTGGCCCCAGCATTACTGAGGTAGATCATGATGGTGCTAACTTCATCAATAAATTAATCCATCTACCAGTTCACAACTAAATGGGCCATTGGAAGGTAGAACCTGGCTAGAGGAAGTAGGTCACTAAGAGGTGTCTTTGAAGACTGCATCTTGTCCTGGCCCTAGCATCTCTCTCTACTTCCTGACTGCCATGAGGTGAGCAGCTTTCCTCCTGCCCTTCTGCCATGTTTCTGCCTTGGCACAGACCAAAGCAATGGAGCCAGCCAACCACAGGGTAAAAACTGGGAATCCTTGAGTCAAATAAATCTTTCCTCCCTTAAAATGTTTCTCTCAGATCCTTCGCCACAGTGACAAAAAGTGACTAACACAGTGGCTATATTAATTATATCAATTTAGCTAAATAAACATAAAAAGTTTTTGAAAGATTTTTGCCTTTCATTCTTATAACTTTGAAGACCAGGTAAGTAGGAAAGCCAGCAGAAAAAAAACAAAAAACAAAAATTAGAAATGAGAACAGAATCACCCCTTGGGGATTAGTCACTTGCAGGAGGGCAGAGGAGAGCTGAGCGCTGATTACACAGGTGTGTCTACTTTGTAGCAATTCACTCAACTGTATGCTCTTATCTGTTCACTTTCCTGTATGTGCATTATATCTAAATGAAATGTTTACTGAAGAAACAAAAACTTCGTATTTGTATAGAAAGATTTTCATAAACTATGAGATTCACTTATTATGCAAAAAGTTAAAGTAGTAATTCTGTATACTTAATTACCTGGCAACACAAAGAATGACAATAAGAATTCTTAACATTTATAATAAATGTTTACATGAACTGCTAATGTCCAAAAATTAAAATGAAACTGAATTACTACTTATTGCCAAAAGAATTAAGTTTAAAATCTGGTTTTCATATTAGCAACAGAAATGATTGTGGGAACTGAGCCCAGGGCTTGACAAATGCTATATAAGTTACCTAGCCCTGGGCTACAGTCCCATAAAACTGTAGTGAGAAACTATTTTCACATTCTACCAAAACATGTTTCCAATTTTAAAGCAAATCAATTTCTGCTCAGCTTCCAAAGATTAAACATGAAACACTGTTTATATGACACTCAAAACAACTATTTATACCTTTGATACAAACACTACTACTGCATTTTTATCCATTTCAGCCCCAAAAGTGCAAACATGTCTTTAAGGACCAGGTAATGATGACTTCATTATGGAGAAGAAAGCCTGTTAACAAAGCACCTCAACACCACTGCAAAACAAGAGGGACTGAGTATGTACTTATGGAAAAACTACCTCAAGATTTGACTGCTTATGTGTGTTGTATTTATGCTTAAATTTTACCACATGTATTAAGTTTGTGACACACTAGCTCCATTTTAATGCACCATGTTTGAGCAAACACCTTTTTATTCTCTTTGACTTTTAAGCTCCAAGTAATGACTTTTTAGTAGGAAGGAAATCAGATTTCTTCAAGGCTAGCTCTGAAGATAGAGGGTGTAGCTTCTCCAAACTCTGCCTTTCAAGTAGTATCATTTAATTAAAAAATAACCAGTTACCAAGTGTCAGTTAATAACTGGCAGTGTATTACCACCCAAACTAAGTTTCAACCATACAAATGGTATTATGATGGCAACGAAGAATGTTCTGTGGGCAAGTGTGCCATACAGCTGTAATTCAAATACTCCAGTCCTTAGGGGTAATATTCCAAGTTGGAGGTCAGTCAGAGCTCCATAGAGATTCTAAGGCCGGTCTAGCCTACGTAGTGAGACCCTGTCTGAAAAAACTAAAATAAATAAATAAATAAATAAATAAATAAATAAAAAAACTCTGTGATATATTTCTTCTGAGACACCCTACTACCAAAAGGATAATTTACAAGGATTCATATACAGAGTATTTTACTGACTGGTTCCAATTTTTCCAGGACACAGCACTCACCCTAACACTTTTCAATTATTAAGAAATGATGTGTACTTAAATTAGGAAATGACTGAAAGCATCTTCAAAAGTTAAATAAACCAGGAGCCTGTGGCTCAGGCATATAATCCTAGCTACTCAGAAGGCAGAGATCAGGAGGATGGTGGTTCAAAGCCACCCCTGGGACAAATAGTTTGCCAGATCCTATCTCAAAATACCCAACACAAAACAGAGCTAGCGGAGTGGCTCAAGTGGTAAGAGTGCCTGCCTAGAAAGCATGAAGCCCTGAGTTCATACCTCAACACCGCCCCCCCCCCCAAAAAAAAAGGCTAAAGAAGCCTATCCTCTCAGCTACTTGAGAGGCTGAGATCCACAGGCTTGCTGTTCCAGGCCAGCCCTGGCAAATAGTTCCCATGACTCCCATCTCCAAACTAACGGGACCAAAATGGACTGGAAGTGTGATTCAAGCAGTAGCACTTGCCTAGCAAGAAGGAATCCGCCAGGAGTTCAAATCCTAGTATGTTCAAACCCTACTACTTGAATCTTATCGTGAAAAAACCACCTCTGTAATCTCAGATATGGGTTATTCTTTAAGACAAAATTAACCACAACACAAATGCCAACGTCATGAGAGTTTTTTTTTTTTTTAAGTTGAGGGTGAAGGGCCCTGTTGTAGATTAAAGGAAATAACAAAAATCATGGGTGGTCTCTGATGATACACTGTATTTAAAGAGAGAGAAAGGCATTGTTAGAACAATTGGGGAAATTCTAATAATCCACTGTAGCAGAAAATGAATGCATCTGAAGGGAGCAATGATGGGTGTTCAATGTATTACTTCAACTTTTCTGGATGTTCAATATATTATTACAACTTTTCTGTATACATAAAAATATCGCAAAACTAAAAGGATTTGAAAAACTTAAAATTTTGAAAACTAAATACATAACTCTTATCAATATACAGTAATACTGCCATCTATTTACAGACAGTAAATAAAAATAGGTGTATAGAGATGCATCAATATGAAATAACTCAAATAAGTAAACTGCAAATTTTTAAAGGAAAAAAACCCTGGGCAATTACCGGAGAAAATGAACAAAATACTGTGCATCTTACTAATCTAAGAGCTACCTTTAAAAAAACGTTTATGAGTGCAAGAATGTGAAGAGCTCGAAACCTCTTAGAAGTTTTCCGATTAGATAATACCGAGTAAGGGAAATTTACCATTGCAAAATGCACGACTTGGGAGCTGGCCGCGACCTGTGAATGCCAGTTAAGACGGGTGCAGGGGCGATTCCGCAGCACCATATCTACACACTCCTCTGAAAGGTTTGGGTCACTGTGACCTTCTGGGTGTTCCCAGGGGCGAGCTGACGCGATCGGTAAGAACGAGGATGGGCTCGGCGCACCAAAACGATGCTAGATTTCGGACGCCGCCCGGAGAACACTGGCCGCAGCTCCATCTTGTCCCCAGTCGCAGGCTCTCCCGTGGTCACCAACAGTGACATTAAGGCTCGGGACTGGGCAGTGGCCGGGGCGCATTCTCTGCAATTTTTACAGCGCAGAAACGCTGCCAGGCGTTTGCCATGAGGACTATTCCGGGGCCCACCTGCGGCCATCTTAAGTTCGGAAGGCACCCAATGCGAACCCCGGGCGGCGACCACAGCCCCCGCAGGCACGGGAAAGGAAGCCACTCTAAGTCCTTTGTAAGGACTCGGTGCAGAGACTAATCCCCAAAACCTGAACAAGGCGGGCGGAGCCGCGAGGCCTAGTACCCTAATCAAACATGAGCTCCGAGGGAAAGCCTGCAGGGTCACGTGACCGGCCGCGCGCCCGCCCCGCGCTGCCCCGCGCCTCGGTGCCCCAGGTCTCTATGGCGCCCGCGCCCCTCCCCCAGGCCAGCTCCAGCACTTACTCTGGGGGGTAGAGCCGCAGCTCCTCGATTTCTCCTAGGAAGGAAAAAAGCGTCCGCATTTGCTCGCTGGTCACCGCCGACGAGAGATTCGTCACCTGAATTACCGCCGTGGGGATAAGGCCGAAGCCTAATCCCAAACCGAAGCCGCCGCCACTGTTCATCCCGATCCCGCCGCCGCTGCCTTCCCGCTCCCCAACGTCTACGACGCGTCAGCGGCCAAACCGGGAAAGCAGAGGACGCGCGGCCGCGAGCGCGCTCCCGCCGGCGGATTCTCGGCGCCGGGCAGGTCTAGCCGCCCCTTTCACATCTCCCCTGCTCCTGGGCTGCGCGCGCCTGCCGGAAGCGTCGCCCTGGCAACGCGGCGGTCCCGCGCGACCTGCGGCCTAGGTTCCTGTACGCCGCGGGGCTGTCTCTCCCGCGCCTCTTCTCCCAGCCAAGACTTTAATTGGCCTCGCAGGGAATTTGTTGCCTAAAACTGGAAGAAGTTCTCGTGTTCCTGTCAACGCGGGAAACCCAGGTCCAGCTCGGCGATCAAGCGGCCTGGCCTGGAGATGCGGGGCTATGAAGGAGGCATGGCGCCCGGCATCCGAGAGACACTTGACCAAACTGTCGCGCGTCTTATTAAATACAGGCGGCAAGAGAAGTAATTGTGAAAAACCTTGGACTTTTTTTCACAATACCTGGAGGTTCCCGGAGAATTACGGCAAGAGGCAGTGAATTCAAGGTTCTGTGGTGGTTGCCTTCGGTAGGTATTAGTATTTAGAGTGTCATGTATCAAACACTGTTAGACACTGGCACATAAAAGTAATAGACGGCCCACGTAGAATTTGCAGCTTACTAAGTATAGGAAACAAAATGTCCCAAAATGTGTCTGGAGACCCTCGTGGTGAATCTGCAGGATCCAGATGATTTTCATGGTAATCCTAACGCTGTTGACCTTTTTCACTTTGTTCACATTACCATTGATGGTCTAAAAGCGATGGCAGATTAAACTGTTAACACCTTACAAGAAGCTAAGGCAGTTTCCCCAAACTTTACTAGTGGTCCACCCTCAACACACTAAATTTAGGGGTTTAATGATTAGCCTGGAGCCAGTGGCTCACCCTATAATCCCAGCTGCTCAGAAGACAGAGATCAGGAGGATCAGGGGTTTGAAGCCAGCCGGGGCAAATAGTTCAGAAGTTCAGAAGATCTTATCTAGAGAAACCCATCACAAAAAAGGGTTGGCAGAATGGCCCACGTGGTAGAGCGGCTGTCTAGCAAGTATGAGGTCCTAAATTCAAACCCCAAGTATCACCAAAAAAAAAAAAACAAAAAACTGGTTTTTATCAAATCTGCACCCTAGTATACAAGCCAGGAGGAGACCCAGGAATGAGGACAGACAGTTAACTGAAGTTATGGGAGGAAAAAGTTTCAGTAAGAAAAAGGTGAAAAGTTGGGAAGTAAGAATGATGAAAAGTGTCAAATTATTCTACAAAGATGACAAGATAGGGATAAATATGCCCATTAGTAGATTATGTGACCACTGAGAGGACACAGACAGTATGGCTTCCACAAACAGTAGAGCTGTGTGAATCTCTCAGTGAAACTTCCCAACCCTGGGCCTGTCTGGGCCCTGCCACTCAGACTGTTTCACCCTGGAACTCTGGCTTTCAAAATTCCAACCTCCAGGCCAAGTTCTGTCTCCAAACTAGTCATTCTCATGGCCCCAATTGGCAATTTTCTTTCTTTTTTTTTTTTTTTTATACTGGGATTTGAACCACAAAATCCTAGTGTAAGCTAGGCAAACACTTAACCACTGTGCTACATTGCTATCCTTGGTAAATATTACTTCATCCCCAGGATCCTGAGTGTCATCTGCATACTCATCCACCATCTTCTAAAACAAAATAATAAGATAAGCAGTGACAGAGTTTCAGTGCACAAAGAGGTCTCCTCACAAGGAGGATCAGGCCCATTACAGCCAACCAGAAACCCAAAATAAGAAAGATAAGCTCCAGTAAATAAACAGAAAAGAGTCCCGAGGCATATATACATTAAAATTTGTTATGCATTTATTGGACTGAGAACCAGGAGGTGACTTTGGAGAGGCAGTTTCAGGGAGGACAGAGACCGGAAAAAAAGGCTTGAGCTGAGAGGTTTCGAAGACAGGCATGCACTGTGTTTACAAGAAGAGGCTTGGTGCTTTTCATCTTGTTATGTTTTCAAACAAGATCGCTTATAAATCTTCTCTATGGAAAATCTGACAGGACAATTCAACACTAGGGAGTAATTTAGAATTTCAGGTAAGGAAGGATCTGTTAAGGAGTCTTATCTTTAAAGAAAGAATGCTGAATATAGTCTTAGGATCACTAGAAAGCAGTGGGAGAAGAGTTAATAGGTTTTTACAAGAAAGAATCAGAAAAGGAGTGAGAACTGTACATACACAAGTATGCCTGTGTGTGTGTGAGAAAGAGAAAGAGACATACATACATATATACATAAACACATGTATATGTATGAAAGAGATAGAGATGTATATGTGTGTGAAAGCAGTATAATGTGTGTGAGAGATACACGTGTGTGAGAAATATAGACTTTATATTGTGTATGAGAGAAGTATGTATATACACCTACAGATATATACACACACGTGTGTATATAAGAGAGGTGTGTGTGTGTGTCCTTACACTAATACACTATCTTAATTCCTAGGCAGGTGCTGTGCCACTTAAGACGCACTCCCCCCCATTATCTTAATTACTGTAGGTTTATAATAAGTTTTAAAATTTGGTAGTGTAAGTCATGCAAATTTATCCTTCTTTTCCAAAATTGTTTTAGCTATTCTAGGTTTTTTTCTCTTTCCTATACATTTTAGGATCTGCTTATCCATTTCTTTAAAAACCCGTGTAGGACTGTAATATGAATTGCACTGAATCTGCAGGTGAAGTTTAGAAGAATTGTCATCTTCAGGTTGACTTTACAATCCGAGGTTTCCAGCCATGAATATGAATGTCATGGAATGTCTGTATTTATTTAGGTCCTAACTGTCTTCCTGCAGTGTTTTATATGTATTTTGCACTTCTTTGATAAATTAATTCCAAAGAAGCTTATTCTTTTTCGTTTTATTAGGAATAGGCTTACTTTCTTAATTTTGTTTTTGGATTGTGCTTTGTTAGTACATAGAAATAAAATTATTTTTGTAAAATAATTTTTTAATTGTTGAAACTTTTGTAGGTGGGCACCAGTGACTCATGCCTGTAATCCTAGGTACTCCAGAGGCAGAGATTAGGAGGATCTCAAGGTTTGAAGCCAGCCCAGGCAAATAGTTCATGAGACTCTATCATGAAAGAAACCAGTCATATAAAAGGGCTGGTGGAGTCACTCAGGGTATAAGCTCTGAGCTCACACCCCAGCACCACACACACAAAAAAAACTTTGCATCCTGAGATCTTGCTAAATTAGTTCCAATAGCTTTTAAGTTGGATTTTCTATATATATCATGTTTTCTGTCAAAAGGAAGGGTTTTCTGTCTTCCTTTCCATCTAATCTGTATGGCTTTCTTTTTCTTTGGCTAGAATCTCCAGCACAATGTTAAACAGAAATTCATGAGAGCAAGCATCTTAGTCCTATTCCTGATCTTTGGGGGAAACAGTCACTCATCATTAAATAGGTTTTGTTTTGTTGGTGGTGTTATTTCCACTGCTGAGATTGAACCCAGGATCTTCAAACCCAGGATCACCATCTTGTGCATGCTGGCAAGCTCTCTACCACTGAACTCTACCCCCCCAGGACTAGGGGTTTTTGTTCCTCCCCTGCTAATCAAATTTTTTGTTTTCTTTTTTAAGACAGTGCCTCGATAGGTAGCCCAAGCTGGCCTTGAACTTGAATCCTGCCTCAGTCTCTCCCATGCTGGGAGATTACAGTCCTGTACCACCATGTGGTACCATGTCTGGCTTTAAGAGACTTTTTGTTTGGCTTTTTTTTTTGACAGCACTGGGTTTTGAACTCAGGGCCTCATGCTTGCTAGACTGGTGCTCTTACCCCTTGAGCCACTCCACCAGCCCTTTTTTTTTTTTTTTTTTTTTTAGAGATAGGGTCTAATGAACTGTTTGCCTAGGACTGACTTCAACCCTCGATCCTCCTGAATCTCTGGCCTCCTGAAATAGCTAGGATTTATAGGGTGAGTCCACTAGCGCCTGATTTAAAGACATTTTTTTATGGGGGTAAGGCCAGTTCCCTTAACCATTCCTCGAAATGTTAGAAATTTTTCAAATACCTTTTCCTTATGCATCTGCTGAATAATTGGGCGTGATATTTCTAGCACAAATTCTACATGGTCATGATATGTAATCTTTAATTAATTTTTTCAAATACATAATATATTAAGTGTTATCATTTGTTGGCAAAAAGTATTTAATGAATGCCTTCTTTCCTTTTGATTTCTCTTTAGAGGTCAGTAATTTTCTATAATCATTCCTCTTTCAATTCTGGTATTAGTAATTTTGCCTTCTCTTTTCTTGGATGGCCTAACTAAAGGTTTATTAATTCTCTTGATCTTTTCAGATAAGCAACTTTTAGTTTAATTGACTTCTCTACTGTTTTTCTTTTTCCTATTTTATTCCAGTTCCACTCTGATTTTATTTCTTTGTTTCCTTGATTGCTTTGGTTTTAGCTTGCTCTTCTTTTCTAGTTTCTTTTTCTTTATTTCTTTTTTTTGGGGGGGATGGGTACTGGGTTTGAACTCAGGGCCTTAATACTTTTTTGTAATAGGGTAAATTTTCGAGATCCGGGTCTCAAGAAATCATTTGCCAGGCTGGCTTTCAAACTGCCAATCCTTCCGGTCTCTGCCTCCTGAATAGCTAAAGTTAAGAGGCATGAGCCACCAAGACCCCGCCTTTTCTAGTTTCTTAAGGTTAGAAAGTTACTTTCTGTTTTTTAATAATTATCCTTGTCTTTTTATTTTTTTTTTTCCTGGTGTACTGGGATTGAACTCAGGGTCTTAATTTGCCAGGAGGCGTTCTACCATTTGAGCACTCCACCACCCTGTTTTCTAATATTAACACCTTAATTACCATAGATTTCTCTAAGCACTGTAGGAAATACTTTTTTGTTTTCTTTTTTAAGACAGTGCCTCGATAGGTAGCCCAAGCTGGCCTTGAACTTGAATCCTGCCTCAGTCTCTCCCATGCTGGGAGATTACAGTCCTGTACCACCATGTGGTACCATG